ACCTGAGGTGGTCACCTGGTCCAGGCCAGGCCTGTGTCAGCCCAGGGTGCTGAGGGTTTTGTCCAGCCAATTTGTAAATACATGTGAGATTCTCTGAATGTGTCCCAGTGTTTAACAGCCCTATCATTAACATCTTCATATAAACTCTGATTCTCTTGAACAAAGGTTTTTTCAATGTTCATGGACTCTGTTGCTGAGCTGGTTCTTGTGATGCTCCTGTTTTAATGTAAAGTTTGAAACTCATGCTCATTAAACATAGCCAGATTTTCAGCTGCTGCCTCTGGAAAAGTTGCTTTGCACCATGTCAGGAGGAAGCTGCCTGGAATAACACCTCTGCTTTTTGTCTCTAAAGGTGGTTGAAGATGGATATGAGTTTTTTGCAAAAAGACAGTTGGTAACTCTGTTTTCTGCCCCAAATTACTGTGGAGAATTTGATAACGCGGGTGCCATGATGAGCGTGGATGAAACATTAATGTGCTCTTTCCAGGTACAGTATCTGGAGATCTTCCCTTCTCTTTAGTGAGGTCACACATTACATTTGTGCTATTTTGAATCAACATTTTACTGTTAAATAACAGTAAGACTTGTTTCAAGTAGATCTTTACAGCTGTCACATGTAGGCAGGGCAGTGTTTGCACTCACATCTTCCAAAAGGTGATAACCCTGTGCTGGTGTGAGCAGGGGAACTGTTTTATCCTGGAATTCAATCACCCAGGCAAAGCAGTTGGCTGTCAGCTGCTGCCACTGCTGTGGGCTCTGGAGCAGCTGATGCCAAGGCCTGGCCTAGCTCAGAGCAGGAAACACTTTGATTTCCTGGCACACTGAGACTTGTCCAGAGCCATGTAGTGCCTCTACCAGTGAATTACTGTTGGACTGGAAGACAGCTAAAATTTTTGCTAAATGACCCCTCTGTCTTTTCAGATCTTGAAACCTGCAGAGAAGAAGAAGCCCAATTCCAGCAGACCTGTAACACCTCCCAGGGGTATGATCACAAAACAAGCCAAGAAATAGTCACTTTGGCACTGCCTTGTTGGGACTTGTATCATAGTCTATAACCTCCATTTTTAAACTTATCATGTGTGCTGTTCAGCTTGCTCAAAATAGATAACGTGTTTGTGGTTTTCCTTTCCATTTGATGAATGGCATTTGCTGGTTGTAACAGCGAATGAAAGACTTTGCTCCCTCCCAGGAAAAGAGTTTGAGAGTCCCCCTGTGTCGTTGTTCCAGCTGCACACTCCACAGCATCTCCCCAGCAGCCAGGTAACGCGGGGCTGGCGGGGCCGTACCATGAATAGTGTAAATCTTGTTCTTTAGGGTCTGAAGAGGGCACTCGTGTGCTGTGAGAGTAGAGATTGTTCCTGTCAGCAATTACATACTGTTTATACAAACCACTGTGAACTTTTTTTTTATGTTCAATTTTGTTTTAAAGGGATTGCTTTTCTTTTAATGTCTTGTCATGTACACGTTAGTTTTATTGCTGTCGACATTAGGAATAACCTTCAACCTTGCCAGCACCACTGGTAGGATGTATATTTAATTCAGACACACGTCCCTCTCCGTACACTTCCAATGACAAAGCCATTCTTTTAAGTGTTTGTGTCTCCTTCCTGAAGCCAAAGTTCGCTTAGAAACCCGTTTGTACACAACCCCCCTGCCGAGTTGGCCGGGCTTCCCATCCACGCCTTCCTCTCGGAGAGAAAAGGAAGTGCTGGCTGGAAATAGCAGCCAGAAAGGCTTGTCCATGCTCAAAGTGAACACGTTTTTGTACAGTTTCCGTGTGTTCAGTCGAGCAGATCCCAGTGCTGAGACAGCAGTCCCAGGGCAGTGACACAGATGGCTCTGGGATGATGGAAATGGCTCTGGATCTGCTGGAAGGGGTTTGTGCATTTCAGCATAAAGACTTTGTTCTACAAAGAAACCGAGAAACTCGCTTGATAAGCCAACCAGAGGTGTTGATCTTGATCACCGGTTTATATAAATCTCTCACAGAATCTTGTTTTTTAAAAACTGTTGATCTTTTTTGAACAGATGACAGTGTACAATATCATGTAGTGAAAATCACTTATTAAATGAAGAAATTGTTAAATCTTCTCAGTGTCAGTTTATCACAACATATACACTGCTGCTCTCCAAGGGCCTGACGTAGAGAAATAAATTGTTCTGGAAACCCACGGATTCTTGGTTTGGATTTGTCTGAGCTGCAAAAGGTGATTTTGAACAGCAGTGTTGGGTTTAATTCTGAATCTGGAGCCTCAGGCGGAGGCCTCTCCCAGCCGAGGGTGGGGCCGCTGGTCCTGGGCTGGTGTTTGCCGCAGCCCGGCTCGGGGCTGGGCGTGGGAGGACAAGCTCAGCTTGGCTCCTGATCATTGTTCTGTGCACTGAGGGCTTGGCCTTGAGTGCAAGTGCTGCTCTGAGAGGGTTGGAGCTGAGACCAGACCCATTTCTTCTGGTGTTTAATTAGAGAACTACATTTATGGTGGAATGGGGGGAACCTGAGTCCATTTTATGAGTGCTGGCTGTTGGGGCAGGAGGCTCTGTGGGGATGGGTGAGGTGTGTGCCAGCTCTGGGCCTCCACAGAACCAGCCTGGGCTCCTTCACTGCCATGTGGAAAATGCTGTGGGATGTTCAGCACTCAGAGGAGGCAGCTGGTTCCTACCCTGTCCCTGCTCTGGGACAGCTGCAGTGCTGCTGCATCTGCTGAGGAACAAGTTTGTCACTGGAATGCCCAGCTCTGCCCTGGTGTCCCCCTGAATTCCCCTCCACCTCTGCAGTGAGTGGAACTTGTTTGCCACAAATGCTTTTTCTGGGCAGTTTGCAGCCATTGACTTTATTTTTTCAATGTAGTTCTCTGAATCAAAGAGCCATTTTCCTACTCTGAAGACATTTTTCCCTTCCCTCTACAGCTAATTAATCAAAAACCTCTTAACTACCTCTGCTGAGCTTGCTAGATCAGATGTCACAGATTACCTGGTAAGGCTTTCTCACAAACTTACTTTCACCCTTTGAATCACATTTGTGGTTTCCTTTATAGCTCTATAATTTTTCTCCCTCCTTGTCCAACACCCTGCGTATCTGTTATTGCTGTTGTGGGTGACAGCACACGTGGAACGGGTTGGGATGTGCCCGCTGTGGCAGGGTCACTGTCACCTCTCCTCGCTGGCCCTGCCACACCTTTGTCCTCCATGGCTTGTTTTCTTCTCTCCCCAAACAGTTTTGGTGACACAGGTGCCTATTCTGGGCTGTGTTCTCTGCCTGGCTGCATTCCCTGGGGTTGGGTCATTCCTCAGGATCCGGGAAGGGAAGGGGCTGCTCCTGCTGTGAGTTGTAACCAACAGCTTGGGCACATTTTGATGTCCATTAGTTGGGGTTGAGTTGTTTTGATCACTGGAGGAAGAGAGAAGGAGTAGATGCTGATTGTGATATTTTTCCCATAATGATACTTGTAGGAATATCTAGCTGACACATGGAATGGTTGGAGCAGCCGTGAGCCTCCCAAGGCCTGTGTCCCCACAGCCCAACACCAATTCCTGCTGGCCCAGAGCTCTGTGGATGGTGCAAAGAATGGATTGGGTGGGGAGGGGCACTGGGCTGTGCCAGAGGTCTCCACAACAGGTAGCAGGAAATTGTGGTAAATCCAAATTCTCTTCAATCCCTGTCGTGTGCCCTGGACAGCGCGGTGAGATCTGATGTTGGGTGCCCTCGAGGCACTGGGGTATTTCTCTGGTTTCTCCAAGGTGAAGTCTGTCCTTGCCACCCAGCTGTGGAAAGGCTGGTTTTCCACACAGGTCATTTTTGCCTGTTCCTGGTTTGCTTTCGATGTGTCAGGGCTGTTGTTGTGTTCAGCTCCAAGGCAGGCTGACTTCAACAACAACACATCAATTTTCCTTGGAGCACCAGGACCTGGTCCAGCAGAGCTCAGGCCTCAGGGGAACACAGGGATTTTATGCACACATCCCTCATGGTGGGGGTTTTCTCCCTAAACCCCACAGTCCTCATCCAAAAGGGGCTGGATCTGATGAGCTCTCAGGTGCAGATCTTCCCCCATTACCTGATTGATGTTTACTGGACTCAGCTGAAACCAAAATGCCCAAATTGACAGGGAAGGCCCAGGCTAACCCTGTCTGCCCTGGGTCCAGGGCTGTGGCTTTGCTGTCCCACTCCAGAGCTCTGTAAGTGGCTGTTTTGGGGTGATGGCTGAGGGATGGGGGTTTGCAGCTCCACGAGGGTATCACCTGTGCTCATTCCCCATCGCCCTGGGAAGGAGAACAGGGATGTGTGCTTTGGGATGAGGTGCTAGGAAATATTTCAGTTGCAGGAAAATATTTAAGCACTCTCTAGAAGGAAATCCTTTCAAAGAAAGAAATACCTTTGGGTTTTAGAATTGAAGAAGTGGAGAGATGTTTATTCTTTGGAGAAAATTATGACTATTTCCAGTTTGTCCCAGCAGAGGTGCCACAGAGATGGGTTGGTTCCAGGTGCTTTTCTCGGCTGAATTTTTCTGAGAACTTCCCAAACCAGCTTGTGTTTGAGAGATTGAGGGGAACCCTGAACATGAAGAGGCTGTGACAAAACACGAGCTTATAAAAGGAGGTAGATTAATCCAGGCCTAATTCCTGGATCTCACAGCCCACATTGATCCCTGGACCTCCACCGACTCCATGGGACTAATCTGTGTCCGTGCTCGGTAACTCTGTCTGGGATCGGCAGAGTAACAATCTGAATTCGCCTCTCCTGGATCTTTGCTCGTTGTTTTGTGTGATGGGAAAAAAGTTTAAAAACAATGGGAAAAAAAAAAAAAGTTTAAACTCCACCCGGCCTGTCCTGTTTCGGAGGGACGGAGTGCGGGCAGCCTGGAGAAAAAAGGCTGCGGAAATGGAAATGGGAAATGTCGGGTTGGAAGGGGGCCTGGCTCGGGGACCCGCCGGGGCGAGGTGGGGAGGAGGAGGCGGCGGGGCCGCCCCCGGCCGGGGGGAGGCGGAGCCGGGCCGGGGGAGGCCCCGCGGCGGCGGCGGGCGGCGGGCGCAGCCGGGACGCGCACGGTACCGGGGGGCGCGGGGGCGGCCGGGAGGCTCCGGGGGCTCGGCGCGGTGGGTGCGGGCTGGGGGGTGACAGCGGGACCCTCCCGGGGCTGCCACGTCCTTCTCCTCGGGGTCCCGCCGCGGCCCCGGGCTCCGTCTGCTCTGGGCGACGCCGTGGCCGCTCCGGTCAGTGCTGGGTCCGGGGGAGGTTGGGAAGCCCCGGGGTCCTGGGTGCTCCGTCCGCCGGCGGCTCCGGGCCCCGCGGCAGCCCCGAGGCCGTCCCGCACGGGCCAGGGGGCTCCGTGCCCGGGGCCGCTCCCCGCGGGCTCCGAACGAAGGTGCTGCCCCTGTGACGGCACCGTGGGACCGGCTCCCTCCTCCCGGCAGGTGATGGGCGGCCGGAGCTGGGAGCGGAGCTCACCGGGGTCGAGGAGAAGGGGAGCAGCCCGTGGACACGGGCGGACCTGTGGTGGCACCGGGGTCAAGGGAGGCTGGTGCTGAGCTCCCCGGCGGCTCTGGCAGGGATGGGTACCCGCAGAGCGGGATGGGGACGTGCTGGTGGCAGGAGCAGATCTCGGAGGGTTTGTGGGCCAAGGCTGCAGGGCTGCCCAAACAGGAAGGGAGGCTGGCAGGGTTGTGATAAGAACACGAGAGCCTCTGCTGCAGCCAGCCACGCAGCCCATCTGCAGGCCCCTGCTCTTCCAGCCAACTCAGAGTTTCACTCATACGGTTTTCATTGCTGGAATGTGGCCTCCATCAGGAGTTTGGTTTGATGGTTCTGCCCCTCGCTGGGTACCCACAGGGATGGGCTGAAGCCAGGATGCCCAAGGGTGAGATCAGCTCTGGACAGAGGAGATGGTGAGGGCAATGTCACCCACCTGCCAGGTTGGAATGTGGGCATCACCTGCTTCATTTGCCTGCAAAGGCTGAGCTGACAGGGTGTCATTAGTGTTAATGGAGGGAAATTATGGCTGTTCCTCATCTTGGCAGTGTGGCTGGCGGGTGAGGATGCTGGGGTCAGCTTGACCAACAGCTTCCCTAGATCAGTGTTAGAAACAAGGGCAGCTGCCCCCACCTCCATCACGAGGTGTCAGATAAGGGCTGGAGCTTCTTGCTCCTGTAATAAATGCTTTGTTTGGAGAAGTTTGGAAATACCTTGTGAGGAAGTTCCTGGTTGTAGAGCAGCACAGTGGGGCGCAAACAGAACTGGGAAGGCAGCAGGGGCTGCGCATGGTGCCGGGGGAGGTGATGCAAAACCAGCGGTATCACCATGAAGCAACTTCCCGTCAGCCAGCTGTGTCGGAATGTCACACTCTTATCACCCTCACTGGGTGAAAAAAGCAAGATTTGGCATCCTTGGCCAGCCCCAAATGGGGAGGTGACACTCTGCTCTTGTCCCTCAGACGTTGGCAGGGTGATGCCAGCTTGATCCAGAGCCATGGCCAAGTACCTGAAGCACTTCACGGTGGTGGGTGATGACCCCGTGCAATGGAGCAACGACTATCGGAAATGGGAGGAGGAGGAGGAGACTGGGGAGAAGCAGCCAGATGGAGAGATCAAGCTGGAGCCCCCCAGGAGAAACATCTCCTTCCAGTACATGATGAAAAAGGTCTTCAGCTCTCACAGGTTTCAGGTGAGGCAGAACAAACCCAGGGCCGAGGGCACTTGTGACAGCAGAGCTGCTGTGGGACTGAGCTCAGGGAGAGCACTGAAGTCATGAACCCCACAGTGCAAAGAGCAGCAGCTGCTGCTGAGCTGAGCTGTCCTGTCGGAACAGAGCAGCTCTGCTGCAGGTGCACCTGTCCCCTGAGAGGAGACAAGCCCCAGTGCACAATCACCACAGCTCTGGCACGTGCTCACCTCTTGCTCCCCAAGCCCCCCACGTCAAGCGGGGTCTGGTGGGGAGCCAGGTGGTTCCATGTGGAATAACTCACCATTTGGGGCAGCAGGAGTAGGAGAAATGGAAAGCTCCATGAAACACAACCAGTCAAATCAGGGCTGTGGGCACTGGGGTGTGTTTGTCTGAAGGGCTACATTGGCTCCTCTTGCTCCTCTGTCTGTGCTGGCACGGGATTCATGTTGGTTCTTCTCCTCCAACAGATTGGGGTTGTCTGCTTGGTGATCCTGGATGCCTTGTTGGTTCTTGGGGAATTGCTTATGGATTTGGAAATCATCCTTCCGGACAGATATAATATAACCCCAAAGGTAAAATGTGGGGAAGTGTCAATATGAACAGCAGTTCCCTCCCTTTGGTGTCCCTCCTGAATAAGCTGGGCAAGGCAGGACCTGGACTTCCAGCCTTGCTGAGCCAGTGGTTGTGGAAGAAAAGTCCTGAGCCCTTCTCCCTGTAGAGCCAAACCAGAGGAGCCCTCAAGCAGCAGAGGCTCTCCAGCCTGCTCTGCCTGTGTGCACTCTGTGGGGCTTCCTGCCTTAAACTTGTACTCTTTTCCAGGTTTTCCACTACCTCTCCCTGTCTATTTTAACCATTTTCCTGGTTGAGGTGGGGTTTAAAGTCTTTGTCTACCGCCGGGAGTTCTTCCACCACAAGTTTGAGGTGCTGGATGGGATCGTTGTCGTCGTGTCCTTCATCCTGGACATCGTCCTCATCTTCCACGAGCACGAGTTCGAGGCCGTGGGGCTCCTGATCCTGCTGCGCCTCTGGAGGGTGGCCCGGATCATCAACGGTGGGTGCAGGGCTTGGCTGTGCTTGCCAAACTTCCCTGAATCACCTGGGCTTTGTTCCTTCCTCAAACCCAACCCCAGGGGTTCTGCTCTCCCAGCAAACTCAGAGTTCTGTCTGTGTGGAACTTTAATCAGAATGCAATTTCTTTGGAGCAGTGACAATCTGCTGCTTGTGTTGGTATGATGCCTCAGGTGCATGGCAGCCAGGCATGTTCCCCCTAAAAAACCCCATAATCTGTTCCTGCACCCCTCTCCTGCAAAGGGATGGCTCATGTTCTGAATTTCCACTGTAGGATCCTTTTGGCAGGGGAGCCCCTGTCTTCCTGAATTTGCTGCTACAGCAGAGTAGGTTTTAATACTCACTTCTGCTGTGACTCCATTATCCCCTCCAGGGATGCTGCAGGGAATGTCCTGATCTTACTCTAGATCTTTCTTGCTTGAATTCAAAGGGCTTGCCATAAAAAGAGAAATAGAAAATGTCCCCAAATCAGGCTTAAGTGACTTCACTGCTGTAACTGTTGCAAGTAGATGTAAATTTGGATATAGCTGAAACAAGCATAGCTGCAAATTCCTTCTTGAGGAAGGAATTTTGGGATTCCAAAGAATATGGCAATGAATGATTTCAGATTCCTGCGTGAAACCTCAGCTCAAGCTGTGTCCTGTGTCACTTTTGGTGGGTGCTCCATATTTGAGACAGCTGGGATCAGAAGAGGGGATTGCTGGGGCTGTGCCCATTGTCCTCAGCCCCTTTCAACGGGGAGAAGGTGCCTGGTTGGGTGCCAGAGAGAAGAGAGATGTGAGAGCAGCTTGTGGCTTTCCTTAGTTCAGAGTGAAAGTCAGAGAGAAACCGGATTTGTGTGGGGCTGTGGGAACCACGGCAGCCTCACAGCACAGCAGAAAGCCAGGACTGCAATTATGGGTAAATCCCCTCATCCTCGGGTGCTCCAGGCTCCCTGCCAAGCTTTCTGCAATGTCCACCTGCTTGCAGCAAAAAGGGACAAAGGGAATCTGCCCCACGCTGGGGTGTTGGGTGTCAGTGCCTGGGCACGCTTCCTGCCGATGTTATCAATGCAAATGAGCAGCAGCGCTGCTTTGTCCTGGGAGAACTGAACCCCCAGAGCCCAAAGGGTGCCTGGAGCTCTGGAGTCAGCCATGACCCAGGGGAGCTGTGGCGGGAGGGAGAACGTGATGTTCTTCAAGCTCTCATCGAGCTGCTTTGTTTTATCTTTGTGGGAAGAAACTGCCTTCAGTGTGGGGGCTGAGTTGACATGGGATCACCAAATGGTGCTTATACAGAAGTGACACCTCTGCCATGAGGAGACAATGCCTGCTCTCATTGCAGCTGAGCAAGGTGAAGCCACAGCCCTGTGGACCTGAGGATGTGCCAGGTCCTGTTGTGCCAGGCCAGAGTGATCGGCCCAGGGGCTGGAGGCGCCCTGTGGCCCAGGCCTTGCTCTGCTGTCACACCTAAAACTGCTAAAACACAGCAGAGCTGCCCCAGCTGCACCCCAGGGCTCTGCCAAGGGAGCAAATTCAGGGATTGAGTGACAGTCAGAGTGATTAATTCAGCTCTGAGGCCGGGCTGCCTCTCCCCAGCAGAGTATCGGTATCTGAATCCCTCCGGTGGCTGATTTAAAACCCTTCCTCATTAAGGAAAGCACTTGGGAAGGGTGGTCGAAGATGACAGAAGCTGAGCTGGAGAGGAACACGTTTAACTCCTTGAGTACAGAGCCTGTGTGCTGTGAGCTCCTGCTGGTGGCTGTTTTACAATGTAAAGCAAACCCCCTGTGAATTGTTCCACAGGAATCATTTTATCCGTGAAGACCCGCTCGGAGCAACAAGTGTCCAAGTTAAAGCAAGCAAACCTGAAACTTGCCACGAGGGTGGAACAACTGGAGCACAGCTGTTTGGAGAAGGTAAAAAAACACTTTTAATTTGGGTTTACTTGCTGATGGTGATCCTTGTGCAAGGTTGGCACTTGGTTTCCTCATGGGAAAGTGTGGGGTGAGCTGGGCTGAAGCAGCACAGCCCTGCCCGTACCTCCCTGGGCTGCTCCTCCTCACAGGAATGATGTCCCTACCTCTGTCCTACTTCTTCTGGCCAGGCTGTGCTGTTTTTCTGCAGCAAGAGATACATTATAGCAGTGGGAAGATCCCTGGGAACCTGGGAAGTTTCATTTGAATTTTGTCTCCTACAGGAACAAGAAATCGAGAGGCTGAATAACATATTGAAACAGCATGGACTCCTCAGCCAGCAAAAATAAGAGGCCAGTTTTCCAAGGTGGGAATTCTGCTTGAAGATTGCAGTGTCGGAATCTGCCAGCTTGACCTGAAAGGTTTTTCTGTCTCTTTGCTTCCTCTTATATTGTGTTTTCTATAAACATTTTCTATTTGACCCCGCTTTGATCAGACCTTGGGATGGCAAAAATAGTTCTACTGGAAAATTAATCACACACAGTCCCTGTAAACAGTAATTTTTTTTTTCCATTCTTGTACAGTTGTACAGTCAAAACTGAAAAATAATTTAATAAAGACACATCTTTACAAGCTATACATCCAGAAAAGTACCACTTATTTAAAATAATTTATTTTTTTTTCTGTGATAACATTCTTTATTTGCAGCAAACTTGCAGTACAAATGATAACAACCCAGACTGAAAAGGTAATTTCTTCTCCACCAGCTGCCTGCTCATCATCAATACATCTCTTTGCCAACCATTCTTTTCACACTGTTGGTAGTTTCCTCATTTCTGTTGCTGCTTGTGCCACTTCGTTATTTATATAACATTCATTTCAGAAACACCAACACACCACTCCTTTCCCTGACAAAGAAATCAGCCCCAAAATAGAGGCAAACATGTGCCATCTTACGTCAAACAATGCCTTGTTCCAGCAGCAGATCCCAGTTCTGGTTTTGCATTCCCTCATCTCCTCTTCCCTTTTCACTCCTGTTCCCTCACAGCCCATGGGGCTGCAAAGTTCTTTGTTCCCACAGCTCATAAATCCATGGATCAAAAGAACTGTAATGTGTAAGAACAGATGTAGGTGAGTGCACTGCTGGGAACAGTCAGACTCCAGAAAAGCCATAAAAAAGCAAATTCTAAAGGGCCAGGCTGGTGTTTGAATTTTTTCAGGTACCACAGTGTCCCTGTGGAGAGGCTGTTTGAGAGCTGAGGAGTGAGGTTTAAGAAGTGGGAATTCTGAGAGATGGTGATTGCAGCAGGTGCCTCCAATGGATTTCAGCCGCACTCAGCTGGAGGGGTCACTGAAACCACAACTCAACTGTTCAGGTTTTTAAAAAAAGGTAATTAATTAGTGGTGTGGGAAAAATAGCCAGAAATATGTGGCTTATTCATCTCTGCAAGGAGATAAAGCAGAGGCCTTATCTAATAGCACATGATGAGTTTAATTAGCAATTTAGCTCTGCTGTTTGTGGGATAATGAACTTGCTTTCCCTGTGCTCTTCCCTTCCCCTCCTGCCTCTGCTGGCCAGGCTGGGGCTGGGCCAGAGCCACCAGCAAGTTCAAACTGCAACCTTTGTCCTCTCTGCACAGTTACAATTGGGGACTTTCCACTTCATGGGGGTTTCTTTACCCTAAACCTTCTGAGAGCCCTCACAAGGTCTCACCCTTCCTCTCTTGGCCAAATTTAGCCCAGCATCTACAACTTAGAAAAAAATTATGGCCCATCATGGTCACAGGATAAACAACGGACTGAAAATAAGATAAAGCAGAAGTTGGGGTTTTTTTATGCATACTTACCTTAGACAAAGGGATAGAAAAAGTCAAAGGGTAACTTGATGTTAATGGTGGGCCAGGCTTTGTAGCTTGGCTCTGCAGGTGAAGAAATGTCAGTGAAAACCACAGAACTTGTTATAGGAATAATCCTTTCCCTTCCTGAGGGAAGCTGCAATGAAAATGCAAACAGGACTTAGCTTCAGTTTTCTATTTGTACAATCATGCATTTGGTCTGGGTTATATTTGCTAAAAAGGCTTTTTTTTTCCCTTTCTGTGTGGTTCCATGTTTCTTTCCATAAATGCTATATAGATTTTTATTGAAGTGTGTTTTGGCAAGGAGCCCACAGCTGTGTTTGAGCTGGAAGAGAACTGCTGGGTGTAAATACATTCTAATGTGAAGTGCTGCCTTTAGATAATGAGATTATCTGGCTCATTGTCACACAGCTGATAGCCAAGGAAAACAAGCCACTTGTTTTATCTTAAATCCTGTAATTTAATTACATACCTGCTTCAGTGTGCTGCTAGTGATTGTGGCTGTAACATTCACTATCCTGGCTTGGGGATTGACCAGGGATCCATATTTAGTCCACTTTATTTCTATTCCCAGTGACACAGGTATTTGGCATGAGCTCTGCAAAGTGTGAGAAATCATCTCATTGTCTGCCTTATGTAGAAACCATCACAGTAATTAATTATTCATGTTGTTAAAAGGGTAGAATGTCCCCACAAACTCACTGAGGAGGTTACCAGAGCAGATGGACCCTGCACTGTTGCTGGGCAGGACAAAAACCCTGAACTCTGCCAGGGCAGAATTTTGAAGGCTACAATGTTAAATATTTTTATGCACTTCTCCTTGAACTCTCACACTTCTGGCTACAGAAACCATTCACTCTTTTGTTGCAGAAGCATGCAAGAGACCATCCACAATCTTATATTGTGATATTGTGCTTATCTCTCTCTTACCCTGGCCTGGATTAGGAGGGGAAACCCTGATTCTGTTCCTTCCCTCTGTCACCTCTGGTGCTTCATCTTTAGAAGAACAACATTCCAACCAATGTTTAAACAACTCATTTTCTACCCAATACATTGCCCTGATCCATAGCTGAGGTGCCTGGATACCAGCTTGATTAAATATAACTTCTACAGCAAGAATGAAACCCTCTGTGAATACTCTGTGAGTTTCTTCCAGCTTATTTCTGCATTCCCAGCCCCATTTTCTCCTCCAGTTGGTTCCTGCATTTTTAGGGTGTGAAGCTGAGCTGCTGCTGCAGCACAGGCACAGATCTCGTGAGGGTGGAGGGGTGGGAGTGGTTGAATTTCACCTGTTCTGAGATGTGGAGCTGAGTTATTGGCACCCAGTCAAGCACATCCTGGGCTTGAGAATTCCCAAATGAGGCCACGTACTCAGGAAAGCTTTGGCCCTTCAGCACATCAAGGAGGGTCTGAGCCAAAGGCTGGCATTTCATAGCTGCTGTAATTCTTCCAGAAAAGAAAAAAAAAAAAAGATGAGTTAGAGCAAAATCCATTGGTTTGGCACAGTCATCATTTCTCCTTGCTCTCTGCTCTGTTCAAGCCTTCTGGCTACAGTTGCTAATGTACACAATCTTTCCAAGAGAAAGACCATTGTTAATTAAATGACATTTTTTATAATTAAATACTCCATTCTCAATATTCCTCTAGCTGTATAAATGGCCCAGGACCTGAACAGAGCCTAAGGGAAAGGGTTGTCAGAGGGTTAAAAGCATTAAATTTTAAAAAATTAATAATTTCTTACCGTAACTTACAGCCTGATATCATGTTATAACCAAATAATACTGGGGCTCTGGCTCCCTGTGCTGCCAGGCAGTCCTGGGTGGATGTGCTGTGCAGAATGGTGAGCTGGCTGTGTTTGTTACTACTCTGAATGATGCCAGATGTAACACACAGTTAAGGGAAATTAAATGCTTGATGGATATCAGGACAAAAAAAGAATTCTTAATCATATCCTTAAAATATAGCTGCAAATGCTACAATGGCTCCAGATTCCTCTCCCAGTGTGAAAAAGCACCAGGGTGTGCAATGGAGGCTTAAATGTACCTCAGTACAGTCCCAGGAGATTGCAGTCAGGACTGAGTCATTCCCTCCTCAAACACAGCCAGAAAAGCACATTTTTATTTTTGGCAGAGAACAGATGTATTTCATAGATGTCCGTGCTAGAAAGGGTTTGTGAGGCTGGACCAGAGCAAGTGAAGCAAACAGAAATGCAGCAGGGGAAGGATATCCTTGAGGCTGGAATCCTGCTCTGACAGGCAGCCCAACAACATAACCAGGATTGCCACTCAGAGGAACTGGCTGTGTGTTCTCCTGCAATGCAAACACAGCATTAGTTCTTATCCTGCACTGAAGTGGTTGGAAAACACAGAAATATTTCAGTTATTTTAGGATTATGACCTGCCTTGAATGATGAAGGCAAAACTGTAAGTGAGGCTTTGCTTTCTCTGTTACAGTCACAAGCTGGGGCCCACAAATGTGCCAGATTTTGGAGGCCTCCATTGCCCAGCTCTGAAATGCTGCCTCATCTGGGCATCCAGGGCAAGTTCTGCTTTACCTTGCTGCTAACAATTGTTCTGATTCAAGTTTAATAAGTTTTGTAATTAAATGTCTTTTACCAAGTCACCCATGACATCTCCACAGTTACCTGAGTGAAGCTGATTTCAAAGCTCTGCTCTATTGAAAGTGCTCCTCTGCTAATTGCCCCCAAGACAAAAGCTGCAGCTGCTTTTGTTATTTCTCCTGTGTCTGTGTGGGTAATGTGATAATTCACCTGAAAATTAAACATTTTAGATATTAATTTGAATAAATACATAAGAGAAACTAGAAAAAAAAATTTAACCATGTAAGTATTTTCTTTCTTCTTTGCTTAAGAAACTCAGCTCCAGGGTGGGGATGGATTTTATCCTGTAGAGGCTGGAGCCTCTTCACAACTGACTTCTTGATAAACCTAAGCACAGACATATCTTTAAAATTAAAAGATGATGTGCAGCATCTCTGTCATTAGTGCCCCTGAAATAATTTTCTCCCAAGCATAAAGTAAATTCCAAACTCATGTCATTGCCTGTTTTGCCACAAACACAGAAGTAACACCAGGATTTCAGCCTGGCTCCATGTTATATTGCACAGAGTTATTATTTTGTTGCAAAACACTCCCTTTTACCCAAAATCAGTGCTTCTCCCATGACATTTGCTTTGGAGATGTCACAAAAATGGAAGCTGCAAGGCCTCCTGCCAGCTTTGCAGTTTGAGAATCAGAAGAGATTTGATGCTTTCCATCAGCTCTGAGGAGGAAAAGGCTGCCAGACCTACCCCAAGCACTGCATTGATGCACAGCTCATCCAAAACCATGGGGAGCCTCAGGGCTTCACTGCTGCTCAGTAAAGTTCTCATTCCATTCACAGACTGGACAACTATGGACTGGACAGTGATATTCACCTGAAAAACAGACTCATGTCAGCTCTGAACACTGGCTATAATTAATTTTGGCTTTTTCTGTGTTATTATATTTGTGACCTTTCCGGGTTCTGTTCCACAGCAACAGCATGCAGTAATTCTCTGAACAACTGCTGTGTTACAAATGCTGCTGAAGCTCAACCAAGGGGTCTGGGTATAAATAAAAAAGAGATTTTCTTGAAAATAG